AAAATCCCAATATTTTGGGTGATTTTCAAAGAGCTGTAACTTGAAGGGAAACGGTTATAGAGAGAATAAAAAAAAATTGAAGCTTCAAGTGTCTAGATTTCAGATCTGCAGTTTAAAATTTTTTAGTGTCAGCAGTTTTTGAGAATTCATAAGAAAATCAACGGAAAAAAAATTGTTAATTTTTGCTTTTTATAAAAAGGCCTATGAACTTCAAACTTTTTGGTAATTTCATCATAAAGCTTTTTTAGATAATTTAATTCTCTTCAATTTGAGCGGTTCCGAAGCCTTGTACGATTATTTGTTGCTGAGTTATCGTCGATCAAAGCAAAAAAAAAATCAATTTTGACTTTTGGCAATCAATTACTCGGGAAATAATGGTCGTACAGAAAATCCAAGCAAGGTTTTAAAAATTGCAAAGTATTCTCTACAAGCCGTAATTATTTGTTTTTGATAAATAATTTTTTTTCAAAGTGAAAATGTTGGTTAGAAAAAAGGTAAAAAATTGCATAATTAGGGATATTTGAATAACTTGGCATAACTTTGCAAATAACGAATAAACTAAAGATATCGACTGTAACTTTTCAACCTCAATGTGTCCTAAAGAAACCCTGATAATTTCAAAACGCTATTTTTCCTAGTGCCCGGAATGTTTAGTCGTTTTGCTGGAAATCAATGTCTTAAGTAATTTTTCACCTTTTATTCATTTTTTAAGTTAAAAATGTTTCTTTTATCAATAATCCGTATTTTCTTCATCAAAAAACGGTCATGATTCTAGAAAAAACTGAAAAAAATATATTTTTCAAAATTTTTTTTGGCATACCTATTCACAAGCTTAACAAACGTCAAAAAAATTTGGTTGATTTGTCGTTGCAGATCACAATTTAATATCGGACGTTTGTGAAAGTTATGGATAAGTTAAAAAAAAAATTGAAAAATAGCTATTTATGATATACGTGTTAAAAGTAAGATTTTATTTTGTGAGTGAAGATGATTAAAAAACGAGCGTAGCGAGTTTTTTAAATTCACGAACAAAATAAAATCTCACTTTTAACACGTATATCATACACTATTTTTGAAAAAAAAATTATTTTATTATTTTAAATGGAACATCCTATACAGAGTGTTATTTAAGTACGTGGCCAAACTTCAAGAGGTGATTCTTTGAGTGATTCTAGACCAATAGTTAATATAAACACAGGTCCGGTAATGCTTTGTTTTCAAAATACAGGGTGTCAAACTTTAGCCGATTTTGTTTAAATGTGTGTTATTTATGGTAGAAAGGGGCTAATTTAGCCCTAACTAGAATTATTACTCCAGTGGCGTCCCGGGGGGCACCTTAACCAATACTTTTGACAAAAAAAATGTGCGCCACTGACTTTTTAAAACTTATAATTTTTTTCGCATTAAACAACTAAAAATAAAACTTTTTTGTCGCTTGAATTTTTTTCGTGTCTTGCTACAAAAACAAAAATCAAAAACTGGGGTGTACCTGTTATTTTTTTCCATATCAATAGTTTATTTTAGTCTTAGAAATTGTTATAAAAATTAATCCTAGTTAAAAAGTGTTTTATTAATTATTAAAAATTGTTTTTTTTTGTCCATGAACATGCAATAAAGTAATTTTTATTGTTTTTTAATCCAAAAAATACAAGATATGAAAAACTTTATTCAAGAGGCAAAAAGTTGTATTTTCAGTTACTTAATGCGAAAAAAATTATAAATGTTTTAAAAAGGTCAGTGGCGCACATTTTTTTGTCAAAAATATTAGTTAAGGTGCCTCCCGCGACGCCACTGGACTTAATAATTTTAATCTAGTTAGGGCTAAATTAGCTCCTTCCTACCATAAATAATACTGCCAAATTTTAATAAAATCGGCTGAAGGATTATCATGATTTTTTACGAAAAAACTATTTTTTTTTTAATTGACTTTTAATTGACACCCTCTATGTTGAAAACGAAGCTTTCACTTGCTTATAGGAACACACAAAGAACAGAAGATGCCTACGTTCCACTATCAAAATCACCTGAAGAAAATTATACGAAGTGAACCATTTTTTACGATACATTTTGAAAACTTACACAGGCAAATTCAAATGGAACGCCCTGTATTTTTTTGCACCTTATTTCAATTTTTTCCTGATCGTCGAGTTTGACGGTTAAATTCATAGCCAACTTCTGAATTTTCGATGATTTTAAATAAAACAGCTACATTACGAATTATTAGTTATTCGTGTTTTTGTTGAAAACAACAAAGTTTTTTGGAAACTAACAAGAGTAAAAAAAGTTTTAGAATTAAACTCCCCATAAAATAAAGTAATAATTTTGAAAGTCCGCCAATGCGTTAAAAAGTTCTGTCACATATTAACGGTGCATCATTCCTTATCAACCCTTTAAAATGCTTCAATTGAACTCTACTTACTGTCGATTAATACTCTTAGTACACTCACACCATGTACCAAATTTGGTTTTTCTAAGTTCGAGTATAACCGAGATATAAATTTTTTTCGAAATTTGAAACCCCACTTTCAAGGCCAATAACTTCTCAATGGTGCAGCTTAGTATAAAGGTAAGTTGCGTTAAATCACCATATTTTGGGTTCCCCTACATCCCCTTGCTGTGTCGGTTGTCCATTCTTATGCGAAACACCCGGTATATTAATACAACCAGATAATTTCTCGCCAAACTTAAAACACGACGAAAAAGTGACATACCTACGCTATATAGGTATATCAATTGTTTTAAATGTATGCAGAAATAAAAGCGTTTAATTTCGCATAGTTGCCGATCGCACGGCATGTTTTTACAACAAGGACGTTCGATACACCTCTTCCGGGGCGGGCGGTGCGGAGAGTATGCCTATGTTTATACACGGGAGTCTTGTTGCAGTACCAACATTACATAAATTAATTTCAGCGAACTAAGTATGCTATTTAGAATGAAATTTATACAACACATATTAGCTTGCATATTTTTTTCGTGTTTAATACACGTCAGTTCACTTTTTATTTGAATAAAAGCGTCTATTTATTCATTACGAGCTTGTAAAATTATGGATGAAATCTGGCAACATTGCCATGGCGTGGTGGTAAAAGTTGGGTCAACTGTCATTACTGTCAACTTTGCGCGAATTCCGTAAACATGAATGAACAACCAAGGTACAAAGGAAAAGTAATGACTGAAAAGTAATATAAAATGAGTGTAAAAGAGAATGTGGATTGATGAGAATAAAATAAAATGTGCAAACCGAGAATCCATATGATAACTATCAAGAAGTTCAGTGTATGATAGTGAGACGTCGACTTGTCAAATTGAAGATTATGACATAACATCTATACTGTTCGTTTTGCAAAGAGATCCTTTCAATTTTTGTTTCAAATTGCTAGTATATTGCTTTAGATCACGAAAAATTTATTTAATATTAATTATTACTACATATATTTTCGACTGGAATAATTTTATAATCTATAATTGAGCTATTCAAATATAACGCATCAGTCGAAGCATTAAATACAGCGTACAGTGTTGCCATATTTCCTTTCATTGGATCAGATGTTTGTTCAAATTTGTCAAAACGTTATCTATTCATTCCATTATCTCAATAATTACATTGTAAGTGCATATTTTTATTGTTTTAAAATGTTTAGTAATATTTAATTCTTTAATTACAATTTTATTTTCCCGATCCTAACCATTTTTAAGAGCAATATTCACGTTTGATTAAAGTTTTTTCCCAACTCCCATAAGAGCCTGTGTAAAAGAGCATAATTTTTAAAATCATTTTTCAAAAAAACTACGTTGTCAATCGATCTGATATTTTTACACAAGTCAGTTTGCATATTTATTAACAGATTTCAATTGCTTTGAAAACATTCTTACCATTTTTCTTTTGGTATCGAACAGTAGAAAAAAATTACTTTACCTAAATAGTAATAATGTAAGTACGAATTTCAGTAGACGTAAAAAGTGTGACCGTAGAAAATTATGTGCTACTACTTGCGTAGAAATGCTATTCTCTCACTAGTTTGAATTGTAACAGTCGTCTATGGCTACTGTGACATAATTTATAAATCGCGAAAATACATCGGCAACAAAGGATAAAATTTAGTAAAAATTTGGTAGATCAAGAATTTTTCTGTATCATTTCGTTCAATATGTACAACCAATTTCGAACAATTTCGCAAGAATATATTCGCATTTGTTGTTTTTACGCAGGTTTTATTGTTTTTGAAATAACGTTTGTGCTTTACTATTAGAAGCTATGGCTGATTTTCATTCCAAAAGGTGGTACCTAACATTTTTGATCCACAATAATAACAATTGGCTAATTTATTATTTAATGCATTGTCATTGTTTGCTAAAACGCAGCAACCGTACTATTTCCCGACGTCAACTAAAATAGCTGATTATGTTTAATGTAATCATGTGAAACAGTGCAACAAATGAATTGTCACAATATTTCAAACAACATATTGGGTCAGAAGTTAATTAATTGACTAAATTTTGACGTATTTCGGAATACTGTATTTTATAGAATAAAACACTGGCATTGGTGGACACAAAGGGGTGTTCTGGGGGGTTATACCCCTTGCGAGTTATTTTTTTTGCAATCAGAGATAATTTTAATATAAATGCTTTGATATGCTAAATTTCTATAAACACCACATGAATTTGAATAAAATATGTCTTATTCAAAAACAATATTAAAATTAACCACCACAAAATGCTTTTTAAAAAATAACGAAAATATTTTTGTCTAAAATCATTGAAGTTAACAAAATTAATATAATAATATACATTATCCAAAACTAAATTATTATACCCGCTGCCCTAAAATATATTTTTTTGTATTAAGGTATTATTGCTATTAGCGTAATATTTAAAAAATAATACTATTGTATTAAATAAATAAATAATGAAGTAACATTTCCCTCCCCCATTAAAATTATACCAGCAAAGATTTTATTAAAAAAAAATTAATAAAAATATTACTACTTACATTTCAAGAAGGGGATTGATATAAAATTCTAAGTGCATGGTCACCGGACCAATATAGACCGTCTCAATTAGTACCTCCGGACTCAGCCTCCTTCTCTTGGTACAGTCTCAGCAAATCCATGGCGTCCTGTGCTTGCCTCTTCTCGCATAAGAACCTCCCGGAGGCCTCTTTCAACTGTTCCAGAAATATCTTGTCTGGGAAAGTTATATCGACGAGAGACTCGGGGTCCATGTCACTCAAGAGCTCCAACTCAGCGCCTCCCAGGAGAGAAACATGACATAAATTGTGCTTTAATTTACCCACTAAGCCTGCCAATTCGGCACCTCCTTTGGCATCATCAACTTGGTCCATGTTAAGTCGACAAGGAGGTGAAGGGGGCTGCCAAGTCTGATCAGACGAGAGCACCATGAGGCTGGTATTTGGATCCAACGTGCCGAAATATTCCTCGTCGTCTATCTCGGTCCCATCAGCCTCAAGAACAACAGTAATTTCTCCTTCGATGTTCAGTTTCTCCAAGACTTTTGAGGTTAAGTCTTCCAGTGAAGAGGCCACTACACCCTTCCGAATCTCTCGGGAGGCGGTTGTAAGTTTAAAAGGCTTGCCAGTTTGATTGATGTCTTCCATGGTTTTGGAGTATTTTTACATTTAAATCGTGGATCGAGGCCAGGAAGATGCTACTTCTCGCAGTTCTTTGTTTGAACTGGCTGGTTGCCGCCCTCCTCACACATGAGTTTTACTGGTTGCCCGCCGCGCATGGCGAGCAAAAGGTCAACGCCGGTCATGTCTTCAATCAATATTATACCTGCTGTCTTCCAAAATATTGTATACTTAAACATACTCTCCTTACACTGGATCATTCGAATTTGACTGCATTTTTATAATAATAAAATGTATATAAATACACGGCGCCCAAGCAAATTTATTAAATCATTCACAAAATCACGGTAGCAGTGGAATTTCCAGACAACTCGATTTAGTGAAACAAATAGTTCTGTTCAGTCAAAATTTCAAACATTTGTTTTGAAAAGTGAAAGATGTTTGATCAGTTCCTTCGGCTAACAAAAATGTTATTATTTATCAGTTCTTGTCTCTGACAATTTTTTTATTGCTAAAAAAGCAACATTTCCTTTGAAAAAGATGACCGTTAAGTTTAGTTTTTAAAATAATGCAATTGGTAAGATTTATATTACTTAGTTATTACACTATTGAAACGAATTTATTTTGTAGTTTCAATGTTACAATACTATAAAAAAAATGTCTAACAATAAAGTAGATACCATATCAATTAAAAAGTACTAAATCAACAGTTATTAATTAATTGACATTATCAACACTATCCAATATATGCAAACAAATTATGCAGATAAAAACCAGGTTTCCTTCGAAATGAAATCAATATACATTATTAATTACTTTATTTAAATAAGCATTTAGAAAACTAAAATTACATCGCCATTACGTTTAGCTTACGTGATAAGTATACAACATTGACATGAAAAATAGGTTAAATATATTAATTTTGTACACAGGAAATGAGATTACAAGACACTACATGGTGTTTTTTCGCGAAACGGATTCACACGCTGACTGGAGAATCCCACCAACAAGCAGTCGTCTTGTTCGTGTTCCGTAATGTATTTTATTATATCCTTCACTGCTATCGATACTGGCATTCTCTTGATGGCGGCTTCCCGTCTCAACTGCTCTGTAACGAGACGTTGCTGCTGTAGATTTGAGACAACCATGTCCATCAACGCTGTATCTGATAGGCCTATGGTGAATAATTTTATGAAAACACTAGCAAAGAACTGGGTGCGGCTAACACCACCGCTTTTCACTCGAATTCGTCCAAGAAGAAACACTTAAAAATGTGCCCAGTAAATTCGTCACCTAAAAATAAGTAAATTACTCTTTTATTGAACGGATGTTCCAATAATAATTAATTTTAATACCTTGTTTGCTTGTGCTTCGTTTATGTCAACTTATTTGTCCTTGAATGAAAATTAGTGATGGGACTACTCGAATGAAAATTATCGATTATATCGATTATGAAAATCTCTCGAGATATCTCGAGTGGTCATATAGAATCATTCGATTATTCGGATACGAATGACAGTGGCCACAGCGTTACTAATACGTGCACTACTCAAGCGAGTGCGCAGATGTTTCGATTGTTCCAACGCTCTAACGAGCTACAACATCTCGAGCACAAAATATATATCTCGAGATAAGACGGCCGAGAGGATAGATGAGACAATCGAATATCACCGACATACAAGAAAAAAGGTATGCAGGAATTTTATGAGTGGCATCGCGGGGGGTTAGTTGGGAGCTTTATTTAGCGGGGATAAAAATTCATTTGAATGAAAATAATACCAAATTATGTTTTCCATAAATTCTATATAATTTTTTTTTTTCAAAAAAATCACAAACAATGGACCTCTTTAGGCGGCGACTACTCATTTTAAACACATGCTGCTGAATCACTCAACTGGCAACGAAGAAATATGGAAGAAAGCCCCAATCCGCGACAGTCATTCATTTACCTAACGTCAACATGTTTCGCATATGATTTGGGATAGACCGGAAATTTTCAAAGTGAACTTTCGATTATTCATTCGAATGATCATTCGATTATAAAATTAATTCGAATGGTAACCTCTCGATTATTTAATTCATTCGATTATTCCCATCACTAATGAAAATGAAATGAAGGGAGTAAAAAAACTGTCGCCAACGTAGTATTTAATATATTCGAAAATACCCCACTTGATTGTAGATAAGAGGAAGAAGAAGAGGAGATTGGAGATATGAATTTCAGTACTGTCACTTGTCAGATTTTAGATTATGTTTATAATTTTTTGGTTATGTCTAGTTATTTATTGATTTACAAATGGAAAATATAATACTAACAGCTCTAAATCTTAACAAAGTCTGCAGAGTATGTCTAATGGAATGTGACAGTATGTTTTCAATATACAGTGAATTATTTGAAGATAATTCTGATGAAAAAATTCCTTGTATTTATGAAATACTTATTAGTATTTCTTCAATTAAGGTATTTAACTTTACAATTCCAAATGAGCGTTTTATTTTAGTTAATAATATGTTACAAATAATTTCTTTATTTATTTTTTCTTTTCATGTCATTTCTTTTGTGGTCAGACTTGGTTCATTTCAAGGTTCAATCTGACGATGGACTCCCTTCGATGATTTGTACTAAATGCATCGACAAAGCACATAGTTCGTACAAATTTCAACAACAATGCAACAAATCTCAAATCCTACTTGAAACCTATATCGAACACATTAACAAGGAATTGGCGCATGCTGAAGATGTTTCAAAGACTATAGAAACAAATCAGAAATACGGTTTGAAAAGCGAAACTGTTGAATCAAGTGATTCAGAGTTACCGCCAGAATTAGTTTTGATTAATGAAAATGACCTAATAAAAAATGAAGTAGAAGAAAATGAATGCGATTCTCTGAAAAATTGCATACCATTAGGTGAAGACACGGTAGATCAACTCATTAAGGATAACTTACAAGTAGATAATTTAGAACTGATTTCTCCTAAGATTAGGTCGTTTAATTTAGATTTGAAGAATGAGGAGGTTAGAGACTGCTCTGCGACATCTAATCGGGGAAAGTCTATTAAGGAGATACCTAATATGAATTATTATAAGAAAGAAAAGGGTGATAAAACAGTAGTATGTTTTTTAATCACAAAAAATTTGCTTTTTATAAAAAAAGGTTTGTTCTTTAGGAATATGTATGCAACCTATGCGACAAAAGTTTCAAATATGGCAATAGCTTGAGGATCCACTTGAAGAATCACAGCGATGAGAAACCGTACATGTGCAGCGAGTGTAAAAAGAGTTTTAAAATATACACATCCTTAATGCACCATGTACGTAGCCATTCTGGGGAACAGCCGTACGAATGTAAGGAATGCGGAAAAAAATATAAACAGTCCGGTACCCTCACAGCTCACATGCGGATACATACAGGTATGTCTATAAAAATAAACGTGTAATATGGTACGATCTTTTTTAAATCAAAAATAAAATGGGCTAGTTTATTCTGGTTCAGGTATACGTAAATAAAACGTTTAATATAACAGCTTAATCGATAAGGTTATGAAATAATTTAAATATTACGATGAGAGTTACGATGTCGAGTTACAGATAATAAATTTGAAGTTTTAAAAACAGTACTGGACACATTAATATCAGAGGACAATCTCATTGTTATTCAAATAGTTTCGCTTTGGAATTGTGGTTGAAAAAACAGGCCTGAGCGGGATAATAGATAAATGTTTTGCAATATTTCAAAATCCGGAAAGTTTCCCGGGAAATGTGCTATAAATATTCAAAGAAAGTTTCTTGAAGCTTTAAATTTCTTTCCCAAAGTTTTTGAAAATGAAAATGAAAAGTGGGTAGTTTTCCTTACCCATCTCTACGAGTATTTTATATTTTCAGGTTCAAAGCCGTTCTTATGCTCAATATGCGGGAGGGGGTTCAGACAAGCCCCCGACTTGACTTACCACATGAGAACGCACACAAAGGAAAAGCCGTACATGTGTAACATCTGCGGCAAAACGATGTCCATGCAATGCCATCTGGTCCAACACATGAGATCACATACGGGAGAAAAACCGTTCCAATGCCCGTAAGTGTCAACTTATGGCGATATATACTTGTTGATTTGAAAATTAATTTTCAGAAAGTGCGACAAAGCCTTTCCCTCATCGACGAGGCTGAAACGACACTCTATAACGCACACAACTTTAAAACCCTTCAAGTGTCACATCTGCGACAAGTGCTTCAATAGAAACAGTAGCCTCCGAGTCCACACGAAAACACACTTGGGCGTCCGATCTCACGCCTGCTCGATTTGCAACAAAGCATTCCTGTGGGCGCACTCCCTCAGAGGGCATATGTTAACGCATTCGAAAGAATCGGGTGAGAAGAATGCACAGGTTGGTTCTACGAACGTTTCTAGTCCTACATCGACCGTCTCTGCGCCAGGCAAAGAGGTGTCCAATGTTAAGTTTAACACCATGACGATTTACGCGGATTCGTCGCTAGATAAATCGACGAATGATTCATTCGCGATATATTCCTCTGGAAACGGGAATCGAACCGCGTCGGAGACCTTTCAGATATACTCGGTGGGTAATTCGGAAGATACGGACAGAGTCGAGACTTTTACGCTTTACTCGGCGGAGTCGAATGCGGACGAGGCTTCAGGTATACATTCCTCGATGGTACATCTTTCTGCGGTTAAATTGTAATTTACACACAATTCTTTCTAGTCTGTCCGTGAACCATAGCTATTTTTCTCTTTAAAGTGTTACATTATTAGGGAGCAAATGTAGAATTAGTTGAATCGCAATCAATTTTTAGCGTTCAAAAATTTTTTTTTAACAATATTTGAAAAATATTAACTAATTATTTAAATTTACGAAGCTTACCACTTACAAAGCTTGTAATTGCGGGGGTTACAAAAAAACATTTTTAATATTGCATTCTATACAGGGTGTACCTTTTATACGTCAATAAAACTTGGGGGTGGGTTCCTCGTGTGTTGCATTTCCGAAAGGGTTTTTCTTAATAATTATCTTTAAATCGGCTAAAGATGATGTTAAAATTCGTACAATTTAGCCAAAAATATCCTGTATCTAGCAAATGCAATGTTCATGAAACCTTATATAAACACTATTTTTCCCAGAAGAACCCACCCTTATTTTTTTTGAAGTATATGATATGAATATTATTTCAGTAAACCTACGTTAGGTACAAAATGAATGAGTTTTATCATTGCTTATTTATTTTTATTTATTATTATTCAAATTTATATTACAATAAATGTTGATTTATTTCTACACTAACATTTTGTTGTAATACAATTTTTTTTTTCAGAAAATGTATCCTAAACCATATACAGGGTGTAACTTTATGCGGGGTCATATTTACACAGAGGCTATCTTTGTCCTTTCGAAACACATATCAATAGTTTATTTTTTCCTTTTATCAATAACTCTCTTATCACGCCTCTGGACAAGCTAGTGTGATCTCAAACAACAGCGCATGTTAGCGCATGCACAATTGAGAATTGGGCTATGCATTGTTGTCAAATCTTATAATTTAAAGGAAAAAGTAAGTTCCGCATCACCGGCCATGAGGTACTCTTTAGGATAATCCATCTGATATCATCTTCTTGCAGCAGAATCGTTTTCTCCGGACAGAAACTAGGCTTTAATTATATTTGCACTTTTTACACCACACAAAGGTACTATATGAACACCTTTTCACAAATAGTACAGTCATTGACGCTTTTCACCTCCTAATTCTTTGAAACTGAACCGATCGACTTGAAATTTGGCAGATAGAGAAATGGTCAATGAACATTAGTGACATAGCGCCGATTAACGCTTGACCTGTTGGTGGTTGACACACCTTCTCGGGGGTGTAAATTTTTTTTTCAAAAATAGCGGAAATCAATAGAGAATCCAATTTTGAGCAAAAAATATTCAAAGAATTTTTTCGTGAAATCGATAGTTTTTTAGTTATTCACAATTGAAAACTTGGAATTTTGAGGAAAAAAAACACTTTTTCAAAGTATTTTTCGCGAATAACTCAAAAACTACGCATTTTATTAAAAAAAAGTGTAATGAACAAAAATGTAGCTTTTAAATAAAGAAAATCGTTTTTAAAAAGTGTTGTACGTACTATACAAAGTGAAATATGGTTAGTGGAAGGGGACTTGTTTTGGGGGAAATATTCAAATCGATGTATTCAACGTCAAATAACGGAAAAAGGATTAATTTTACGTGTATGACGCTCCAGGAATTTTTTGTAGTACTCAAAAAGACCTTCAAAAGCACTTTTAGAGCAAAATTGAAGGAGTTATCGTCAAAAACAGATGGGTTGCTCGTATTTTTTAAGGAAAAATGAGCAGTAAATGCTGTACCATTTCCATCAGAATTAAAATTAATCGTAGACCCTTTACAATCAGTTTTGTTTTAGTGTTGTTCATACGATCCTGAAGTTAGACCGGTTTAGAATGTGTACTTTTTGAATAATGTACTGTAAAAGTTGAAAACGTATTTTTCATTATTCAAAAAAATTGCCTTATTTATATAATAACTCTGAAACTATGAAAGATACGTAAAAAATGATAGACAACAAAGATGTAGCTTTTTTTCAATATATTTTGTTTTTTTTTATTCCCAATTATAACATTCCAAGATTTAAAACGTAACTTTTTATAATTTTTTTAGCACAGGGGTGATTTATAAGGGTTGAAAAGTGTTATGAGATACAAATTCTTTCATAAGCAATGAGGGAATTTCTATTTTAAATAATTGCACTGTTAAAAGTAATTTTTTATCATTTTTGTCAATACGGGTGGTTTTTAGGGGTTGAAAGAGAAAAATCCTTTTATTAGCTATAAGGTAACTTTTATTTTAAATATTCCAAATCTTTAAAAAGTAATTTTTTGTCATTATTTTTGGCATAGATCAAATATATCATAAAACATGTTCGAGAACACGGAACATTATTTAATCTTTGTGCTTGAACAAGATTTTAATCAATAAAATAAAACTTAATTTTTTTCAATTTTTTCACTTAGGGGTACTTTTTCTCCCTAAAAAATAAAAAGCGTCAATCGGGCTTATGTCACTTTTGAACTTGAGCCTAAGATGAGTCTTATTTTTAATTTTTATGCAAAACCATGCGGTTTCAAAGAATTCGGAGGTTACAGCTGATTTTCAGCTTCAATGACTGTACTAAAAAAGATATAGTTGAATACTAAATAAGAATTCCCAATCCCATTCCGCCGAATTAACATGGCAGTTTATTTTTAACGCGTTTACCGTCATATCAGAACACCTGCAACTTTGGCATGTAAACAGAACAGTGACATTCAAAAATAAAAAAAACAGTAACACAAATGTTTTATTTATTTGTACTCACTGTATAAAATAGAATAAAGAGGTTCGCGTTTCACCGAATTAAAGTAACAGTTGCTTTTTACCCATTTACTATCCGTATCATACCAGAAGCCAACTCAACTCGCAGTAGTGGCCTTTTTAGAGAAAATATGGCTTTTTCACTAAACAGCAGAGGCTAGCCTCCACTGCCCTTCTTAAGCATTAGGAAGAGATTGGATTCTGCTTAAATTTAAACTGTTCACGATTTAATTTTAATTAATTTAATACGTCTAGCACCGATTGGCCGTTGAAATGGCTGAATAAGAAAAAAGAGTAAAAACATACTGGATCTCGTTTAGAATTTTATATTTTTTTAATATTACGTTTTAACCTTCCTAAATGTGTCCCTATCTAGTTTATATAGTGACAGTAGTATCATTCAATTAAACTAGGACAATGTCATTGACGCTTAGAGAAATTATCTCGGAACTAGCGGTTTTTTGAAGTCCTGGATGAAAAAGATTCAATTGGTTTAAAATTCCGTATCACTATCAATTTTTATCGAACGTCCAAATATCACATCAAAAAGACACTACTAGAGATATATTTCCAAGTACACGAATGAAAAGGTTTCACTTCACAATCACAAATATGCAAACAAATCAATATACGTTTATTTTACTCAAGCGCGTGTACTTAAACTATCGTTTCTTCGTTCCATTTTTAACAGAGTTGTTTTCGCTACCGTGATGCCTGTTGAAATGCCTCTTCAAATTACTGGAATCGTGAAACCCCTTCTCACAAACGGAACACACGTAAGGCGTCTCGCCAGTGTGCTGTCTCATGTGCACCTTCAACGTTTGAGGCTGGGCAAGTTGCTTTCCGCAAATAGAACACGTATAGGGCTTTTCCCCGCTGTGACTCCTCAAGTGAACGCTTAAGTGGGAGGGAGACATGAACGATTTGGTGCACAAGTGACACCTGTGCGGTTTCTCGCCGGTATGTTGCAGAACGTGATTGTGCAAAGCGTTTTCTTGGTAAAACTGCTTGCTGCAGTCGGGGCACTCTAGAAGTTTATCGTTGGAGTGTGTTAGTACGTGATTATTTAAACCGCTTTTTGTGTAGTACCTTTTGTCGCAGTGTGGGCAGTTCAGGGACTTGTCGGTTACGTGGTGGGACATGTGGACGTTTAAGGAATTCCTTTGGCTAAACACTCTCCCACAATCCTTACATTCAAAAGGTTTTTCGCCGGTGTGGGTTCTAATGTGGCTCTGTAGAGTCGGATTTGTTATGAATTTTCTCCCGCAAATATTGCATAAGAATTTTTTTACTCCTTTGTGGATAAGTTGGTGATTGGCGTAGCCAGATCGACTGGCAAAAATTTTACCGCAAGTCTTGCATTCCAGTTTTAAATGCACTCTTTTTTCGGTGTATTTTCTTTTGTGTTTTGGTATTTTGTCTATGTCGTTGCTGTGGACGTGATAAATATGGGCAGCGTGATCAACGAGCCTTTTGAAACCATTCCCACAGTAGACGCATATGTAAGGTGTTTTTCCAGTATGGAAATTTAGGTGTTCATCTAAAGATCTCTTCCTTAAGAAACCTATAAACAATCAGTTATTTCAAATTCTGGCCATTTATCATCAAATTACCTTTTTCACAGATTTCACAAATAAATGGCTTTACGCCTGTGTGTGTAAGAGCGTGCCTTCTTAAATTTTCTGCAAACGCAAATGTTTTGGAACATTCCGGACATTTGTAAGGTGTATCTTTTTTATGCGATCTCAAATGTATTATTAGTTTATTTCTTGGATAAAATGATTTTTTGCAGATTGGACATTTACAATCATCTGGCCTACAATTTGGATTCAGTCTGTAATGCCTCTTTACACCTCCAGGGTTTATGTATTCCCTACAACCAGAGCACTTCCGTTCATTAGATTTTATTCGTTTTGACATTTTCATTTCACTCTTCGAGGGACAGGGCATTAAACTATTTTTTTTCTTTACCTCACTTTGTAATTTAGCCAGCGACTCCTCATTTTGTTCAAAATCGCAGTTATCTGAATCATATGCTTCATTTATTTCCTGTAGATAAACTCTTTTAAGAAACGCATCACTATTTTTGCATTTCTCGATAAATAAATTGATATCATCAAGGTGTTTCTTACAAATGCTACAAACATTTTTGGGAAACGTATCCTCCTTTGTAATCTACAAATAAAAATTTGATGACTGATAAAAAAGTATTTTCTTTGATTCAATAAACATACTTCGATATTTGTAAGTAGTTTAAATACGTCTGCCATTTTTAATTCAATGAAATTATGAAGATCATCAGCAGTGTGCAAACAAATTCGGCATATATTTGGGAAATCTTGATAAGTGACACTAATTTCGGTCATTATTTGTTTATTTAGCCTAATTTAAAAGGCTAACCTCTTTTCCTGAAAGTGACAACTCAATATGACATTGGAAAGTATTTTCTTCTTCTTCAAAATGTTGGCTTGTTCCATTTCTTCTGTTTCATATTGTTGGGAATTAGTTCCATTTTCACAGTTTCAGGATCACCAACATTCAAATTTAAAATAAAAAATGAAAAAATCTTTGGTTAACTAAGGGCCGTACAAGGCATTTGTACAGGTAAAAAAATTTTTGAAAATTACGTAAACATGATGAATTAAAACTCAAATCAAAACAATGGGAACCTGAACTATATCTACTGTGTTATTTAAATAATTTTTAATTATTATGTAACAGGTATATATGGTAATAATTCAGAAATAATTTTATTTAACGTAAACTTGTTTAAGAACCCTAAAATATGGCAAATGTGAGTATAATTTCGGAATATTCTTCTTTATTAGTTGGAAAACGTAGTAGACTTATTATTGCCAAGGTAAACTATTCACTGAGAGTGAAACATAGAATTCCTCAAGAAGGTCCCATTGAAGCGTTAGAGAGAAAAATTAAATCTGGCGAATTGCAGACGGACAATGTGCAGTTAAATATTACTGATCAGTTACAAAGGGTTTACGATGATGTAAAACATTACAAACCTGCAGAAAATAATATATTCAGTAAACTATTTGCCAGCAAGAAAAATGCTCCCAAGGGATTATACATTTATGGTGCTGTGGGTGGAGGAAAAACCATGCTCATGGATTTATTTTACAACAGCTGTAACATCGATCGTAAAACGAGAGTCCACTTCAATGCTTTTATGGTAGAAGTACACAGGAAGATGCACGAATTGAAACGAGAAATAGTTGTCGACTACACTCAACGCAAGCCCAAACCCTTCGACCCCATACCACCCGTAGCAAATAGTATTATAGAGAAGTCTTGGCTTATCTGTTTCGATGAATTTCAAGTAACGGACATCGCCGATGCTATGATTTTAAAACGTCTGTTTACATACCTGTTTGATAACGGAGTCGTCGTAGTTGCTACAAGTAACAGACCTCCGGAAGACCTGTACAAAAATGGCCTCCAACGGTCCAATTTCATTCCGTTTATTGGGATACTGAAAAACCACTGTGAAGTAGCTAATTTAGATTCGGGAATAGATTATAGATTGAAAGCGATTGGTGCTAAGACCAATTACTTTGAAAAGCCTAAATTCAAATTGGATCCTGTGGCACAGATCTTTAAAGTCTTAACCTCCAAAGAAAACGACGTAGTGAGAAGTAAAACGTTTTCCATTTTGGGCCGGGACGTGACTTTTAGGAAAGTCTGCGGCGGATTATTAGAAACCTCTTTTGAGGAATTATGTGATAGGCCTTTAGGCGCCAACGATTACTTGCACCTTACTCAATTTTTTCACACTATAATAATTAGAGACGTGCCTAGAATAGATTTAGTAAGGATGAGATCTCAGGCTAGGAGATTTATAACGCTTATCGACGCACTGTACGATAACAGAACTAAAGTTATCGTTACGGCGGACACGCCTATAAAAGAGTTATTCTTCGCGTCGCAGGACAAGTCTGAAGGGATCAGCGACGAGCATAGGATGCTTATGGATGACCTGAAGATAGGCGACAATGATTTGACTGCGAATATTTTTACTGGAGACGAGGAAATTTTTGCCATCGATAGGACGTTGTCGAGACTTTCCGAAATGCAAAGCGAAGATTATTGGGGTAAGAAGAAGTGATGCTCCTGCACGTTAGGTACTTAAATTTATATGAATTATTTTTGTTAAAATTTTATTTTTGTTATGCGTATATCAGTATTTATTTGTTATATCAATGTTTTAACAAATATTATTTGTTTTTATTGTTAGTCAATTGATACGATATCAAGTTTTCTTGACTCGTATTTGTAAATAAAATGTTAAGGCAACATTAATTTCTGATTAACTTTCCTGGAAATAAATCAAAAACAAAGTGCATAATTTAAAAATGTATTTCGTAACAAATTAGTTCTGCCAAAGTCTTAGAACTTTATCTTTTCCTCCCGAAGCGACCCTCAAGCCATCCGTGGACCAATCGACTGCATAAACCTCGTCCGCGTGTCCAGGCAAATCGATTTCCAAGCTATTCGTTTTCAAGCTCCATAATTTCAGAGTAGAATCGGCACTACCGCTAACCATAAGCCTGGAATCGGCAGAAAACGCCACCATATAGACGGGTTGCACATGTCCTCGTAGCGTACAAATAAACTTGCCAGTTTTTGAATCCCACAGTCTGATAGACTTGTCGAAAGAAGCGGACGCTATCACGCGACCGTCCGGAGAAAATTTTACGTCATTCACTAGTTGCTGATGGCCTAAAATGAGAGAAATTATTTTGCTGGAATCACATTCTTAAATTATATCTTACCAGTCAGTCTTGCTAAGGGTTTCTTATCCTTTTCCGGGTCCCATAGAAACAAAGTAAAATCGTCAGAGCCTGAAACTAACCTCTCGCCAAAGGGTTCGGTAACTTTATAGAACCGAGACAAGGCAAACTCTTGAGATTTTTTCTTATCTATGCACGACGTGTCTTTGTTCGAATCTTTTACAGGGTCAAAAGCACCTGAAAACAGAAACGGTTAAAAATTATAATAAAATTTAAAAATGTCTCTTTTACTAGAATTAATGGTCTTACCGATTCTTAAAATATAGTCTGTACTCAGTGCTAAAGTATTGACCCAATGCGCATGCCCCGATAAAGTTCTACATAATATACCGTCCTTCGCCCGCCAAACTTTCACAGTTCTATCTTGCGAAGCCGTGTAAATGAGCCCAGTACCGCCCCACTTTACGACTGTCACACTCTTCAAATGGCCCGAAATCGTTAGAATAGTATTACAAAGCACAGTATCCCATATTCTAACGTCTCCATCTTTCGAGGAACTTGCTAGAAACCTACACAAATTTTATTATACACCTACTTCACAATTTTTGTTTTTTAACTTGCCTGCAATCCGGGTTTTTATGATAAGGTTCCCAACTCAAACTTGTTACCCATTGTTTATGCCCAACCATAGTTTTTCCCATCTGTTTACCCGTAACAGGATCCCAAATTATTATTTTACCATCCTTACAGGCTGAGGCCAACTTGCTACTGTCGGGAGACCAAGAAATACACAAGACCCAGTTATTATGTCCTTTACAAGTATAAGTAGGTGTTTGCGTATTGACATCCCAAAATCTGACTGTCGTATCTCCAGATCCGCTAGCTAAATGTTTACCGTCAGGACTAAAACTTACCGAGATTACAGCTTCGGCATGTCCAGGCATAGAACTTGTGCATCTTGTGACTGGACGTACTTTAAACACTGCTTGTTGCTGGTAAATTATATCAATTACGCCCTCAGTATTTAAATTTAAACTATCCAAGGAACTTTGGAGGTCGTGTTTGATTTCTTTATCGTTTACGAAAAATAGATACGAGGCAGGTTCCTCTTGTTTTAAAATTGCTTTACAAATCAGGGTGAGTTCTGGTAAGCTGCAATTTACAGGTAAGTCCATCATATCGCCAGCCACCTCTCCCGTTTCTGACACAAAACGGCACAAAAGCCTTTTAGTTTCAATTAACTCGTGCTCCATTTTTTTAAGTCCCAGCATAACACACTTTTCAACTTTTGAAGGATAACATAACCTCTACACACGTGTTTATAGCATGTATTGACAGTACATAAGGTCGATTCAAATATTTTTTAAATATGACGTCAAGGTAAAAAGTTTTATATTTTCACGTCAAATATCTATGATGTATACAACAAGGAAAATTTGAGATAAATTTATAAACTAGAGGTTGCTCAAATTTTTTGGTTCCTGATTATTTGCAAGAATATGAATATTTATATTGATCTATGGAAATAATTCAACCATTTTCATAATGGATACACCTTTTCATTCCGCACTTGTAGAATCGATACTTTAGAACTACATACGTTACAAAAGAACTATCCCCATCTGTGTACAGTTGATCTAACAATTTTCTTTCAGAAAACCACCAGAAAACCTTAGAACAGAACAAAAATATAATATAACCATAACCTCTATCTTTTGTATCCTGATACAAGACAACGTATTTTGTTGTATTTTCTATATTTTGAAACCTAAAAGTTAAGAAATAATGGACACGAAACATCAAAAGATGCCCAAAGTGGCAAAGGTAAAGTCTTAATAATTAGATATATGAATACCAAGTTTTTTAAATCTAAAATTTTAGGTGAAAAATAAAGCTCCGGCAGAAATCCAAATCACTGCCGAACAACTTCTAAGAGAAGCTAAAGAAAGAGATTTGGAAATCTTACCTCCTCCTCCAAAGCAAAAAATTTCGGATCCAGCCGAACTAGCTGACTATCAGTTAAGAAGACGTAAACAATTTGAAGACAACATAAGAAAAAATCGTACTGTCATTTCTAACTGGATAAAATACGCACAATGGGAAGAATCGCAGAAGGAAATACAACGGGCAAGGTCTATTTGGGAGAGAGCCCTAGACGTCGATCACAGAAATATTACAATTTGGCTGAAATATACAGAAATGGAAATGAGAAATAGACAGGTAGGTAGTATATTCATCGTTACGTTCCGTCAGTTTAAAATTTTGGGTTGTAGGTTAATCACGCCAGAAATCTATGGGACAGAGCCGTTACTATTTTACCTAGAGTAAATCAGTTTTGGTACAAATATACTTACATGGAAGAAATGCTGGAAAATATACCAGGGGCTCGGGCAGTTTTTGAACGTTGGATGGAATGGCAACCAGACGAACAAGCTTGGCAAACGTATATCAATTTTGAACTAAGATATAAGGAAATTGACCGAGCCAGGCTAATATACGAAAGGTAAACAAGTGCACAGATGAAACAAGTCCACAGATGATAATATAAATATTTTTGCTTAGATTTGTTATAACACATCCGGAAGTGAAACACTGGATAAAATACGCCCGATTTGAAGAAAATCATGGTTTCATCCATTCTGCTCGTCAAATATACGAACGTGCGGTACAGTTTTATGGTGATGATCATTTGGATGAAAAACTGTATATCGCGTTCGCCAAGTTTGAGGAAAATCAGAAGGAACACGACAGAGCAAGGGTGATATACAAATACGCCTTGGATCACATCCCGAAAGATCAAACCAAAGAACTTTACAAAGCCTACACAATACACGAGAAAAAATACGGCGACAGGAGCGGCATAGAGGAGGTGATAGTATCGAAACGCAAATTTCAATACGAGCAGGAGATAGCGCAAAATCCTACGAACTACGATGCTTGGTTTGATTATATCAGACTAGTGGAGGGCGAAGGAGATGTCGAAGTTACAAGGGAAACGTATGAAAGGGCAATAGCTAACATACCGCCAACGAAAAACAAGCAGTACTGGCGTAGATATATCTATTTGTGGATAAACTACGCGCTGTTCGAAGAATTAGAAGCAAACGATTACGAACGTACGAGACAAGTGTACAAAGCTTGTTTGGAATTATTGCCGCACAAGGCGTTCACTTTTTCGAAAATATGGCTCCTGTTTGCGCAGTATGAAATCCGACAAAAGAATTTGACCGCCGCCAGGAAGATACTCGGTATGTCCATAGGGATGTGTCCGAGGGACAAACTTTTCCGAGGCTACATAGACCTAGAAATACAACTTCGAGAGTTCGACAGGTGTCGGCGGCTATACGAGAAGTTCTTAGAATTCGGACCGGAAAATTGCGTGACGTGGATGAAGTTCGCGGAATTAGAAACGCTACTGGGTGATGCAGACAGAGCTAGGGCTATATACGAACTGGCCATAAACCAACCGAGACTGGATATGCCCGAACTGCTTTGGAAGGCCTACATCGACTTCGAGATAGCCCAAGACGAACCTGATAACGCACGGCAGTTGTACGAGAGACTACTAGAAAGGACGTCGCACGTTAAAGTTTGGCTCTCCTACGCAAAGTTCGAGTTGAATAACCAAATGGAAGACGACATGAACGTCAAACTCTCCAGAAGGGTATTCGAGAGGGCAAACGAGAGTTTGAAGAGTTCCGCCGAGAAAGAAGCCAGAGTTTTATTGTTAGAAAACTGGAAGGAGTTCGAAAACGCTCACGGAGACGAAGCGAATAAGGAGAAAGTTAACGGTAAAATGCCGAGGAGGATCAAGAAACGACAGAAGGTCATCGATGAGGATGGGATAGAGCAGGGATGGGAAGAAGTCTTTGATTATATCTTTCCCGAAGACGAGGCTAGCAGGCCGAACCTCAAACTGCTCGCTGCCGCTAAGAACTGGAAGAAGAAAGTTGTGGACGAACCTACTATGGAGAATGAAGTTATTGAGGGGGATACTGGCGACGGTAATGATAACAATGAAGAGGAAATCAGGGAAAGTTAATGTACGTTTTAATTCATTTCATATATTTTTTTTATATTAAAGTGGTAATACTGATTTTAAAGCTTTTTGACTTTTTGTCACCTTGAAAACAGAAATTGTTTTAACGGAAAATGTTACAGACCGTTTTCAAAACATCTTGTAAAATTAATTATACAAGGTTATCCAAAAGTCCCGGTACGGCAGAAAAACTTTCGTAGAAAGCATTCTGTGAAAATATGTTTCAGACAAAAGTGTAAGGATTTTTTCCTGGATATCTGATGGTGACCTTGGATTTGACCTTGACTTTGACCTTCAAATTAATTTGAAGGTCAAGTTAAGTTTTTTAAATAGGAACCCCTATTTTTTATTACGGATTTGGAAAGAGGTTAAATCCTTACACTTTTGTCTGAAACATTTTTTTCCCAAAATGCATTCTCCATTGTCAAAGTTATGGTCAAGACGATCTTTGGATGTAAAATTTCCTGCTCTTTCCAAATCCCCAATAAAAAATAGGCATTCCCATTTAAAAAACTTAACTTGACCTTCAAATGACCTTGAGGGTCAAAGTCAAGGTCAAATCTACACTTTTGTGTGAAACATTTTTATCCAAAAGTTTTTCTGCCGTACCGGGACTTTTGGATAACCCTGTATAAATTCTACATTTATTTAAAGCGTATCGACTTCACAAATTGCTGATTTGTGCTAAAATGGTAAAAGGTTTCCACAAGAGTAAATTGTATTTGCAAAAAAAAAAATTTCTTCCGGTGATTCATGATTTTTGAAGAATAATTTTTTCATAGAAAAGGAAACGTTTTATCTTAATTTTCTCAAATTTCACACTTTACAAACAGCACACCGCACTTTATTAACTACTTAAATATTGCTTTTGCGTAGGAGCGGATCCAAGGGGGGGCATGGGGGGCGATCGCTCCCCACCCCAAATGGTCCGAAAATTTTTTTTTTAACAAATGAACAAGGAACCAACCATAAAAATAAACTCCAAGAGCTCCATACTCCACAATATTATAAAACCGTCTAAAATTCCCTCTTTGAAGTGACCAAATCAAAGATCGAACAGAATAAAGATTAAAATTTTTCTGTTTAAAAATGTCTCAGTTTTCTTGCCTAAACGTCCCCCCCCCCCCCCTAACGTCCATCTCTGGATCCTACCCTGCCTTTGTAAATATTGGGAAATATGTGACATTTACAAAAAATATTAAATATCTCGCGTTTCTTAATTTTATAGCAATTATACCAAGAAGAACTTACATTCATAGGTCCTTCTCATTTTGCTTGTTTATTCTTTTATTTTCATTTGTACTGGAAGAAAATTCTCAAAAATTTAATTTTCAGTCTTTTTACAACACTGCATGTGCACACAAAAATCTTTATTTTGTCTAAAAGATATTTAGAAACAATATTCATTGAACTTTGAAAACTTCAACACCCTCTGTCTCAAAAACGATAACTTTAAGCACAAATATTTATCAGAGTGTAACTTTGATTGTGAGGTGATATTTATACGTAGTCTACCTTTGATCTTTAGAAAATTTCATAAGTTCATTTTCTCAAATTTTGTTGTGAAAACAAATTCCTTTTTAAATAAAAAAGTAATTTTCATACTCCTCCGCTAGAAAGACTACTGTAACCTCAAACTACCACGAGGGCATACCCATTTGGGAAGTTCTTGGCTTCTTATTTTTCCGAATTGACGTTGGCTCTTTGTTTTTTGCCCGCCTAACTCCCCATTGCCATATCACCTCAAGCGGATTGATGTTATGTATTTCAGTGTGAGTGTCAGAGCTGATCAACACTGAAATTCACAAACTATACACAGTGCTTTAACAAAATAGTAAGTTATTTTTATAAAAAACTTGAAATTATTTAGACATACTTTGAATCTATCAAATTACTATTAGTATTATTTTATAAAATAGCAAAAATAGTTATTTTAAAACATACCTAAATTAGTTTTATTTACAATTATTAGTAAAATATTGGTTAATACTTAATAAATCATTAGTCAATCGCTTTTTTAAACCTACCAAAAAATAATTTTATTTCACTAAAATCCATAGTCCAGGCGGTATCTGTTTCGGGTTGGGTAAAACGCATATGATCGGAGATTTTTGCTTAAACGGCTTCTAAATAACATCAGAAATGATAGTTTTTCTATGTACATAAAAAAACGTGGGCATAATTGTTATTGCAAAAAAGTATAAAAAAAATAGCTGAAAAATTCATTTTTTTTCTTGGATTTCTCGTCGACAACTTAGCAATTATTCGTTTTAGACAAAAATGGAAGAGGAAAAAAGTTTTGTAATTAAATTTTGAACAAGATAGTTAGTTGCAATTCGATAAAATGATTATTGTTGTTGCAAAAATCAGAAAAATCATTTAAAAAATTGCAAAAAATGCTAGTTAATTTGTGAATTTTTTTAATACCTAGGATCTTCTTACATTTCCCAATTAAACTTCTTAGTGTATAAAATCATCACACCAAATTTCATCCAATTCGTTTCTATAGTTTTTACATAATTGTTTAATTTTTTTTTTAATTAAAAACATTTCAAAATCAAATTTCTAAAAATCTAAAGCCTTTGAGTACTTGAAAATTTCACCACAAAAAGAAGAGCTCTCAAGCTTTAAAATGCTTTCTGAAAAATTCAAATCGGACGATTAGGTGAGCCGTGGTGATTGTTTAAACATTTTCCCAATTTTCACGCTTATAAACAATTGCAATAATTTAATGTTTTTTTCATATTTTGTTTTACTTTAAAATATGGTTTGAAAATACACGGAAAGACGAGGATTTAAAAAAAAAACCTTATGATCCACCCATTATTTTCGGAGTTATAACCTGTTACAGTTAACCCTTATTTACAGCAAAACTATACGGGTATAAGAGCTGTTTTTTGAACTAATAGGTTTGTCATTCCGAGTACTTTCCAGATATAAATGTTCAAAATTTGCAATCACGGGCGTCCCATTTAAAATGTCGCTCAAAGATATTCAAGACCGCGTGAAATTAATAAGGTATCAGTGGTGAGGGGGGGAGCAAACACACTGCTACTCCGATCTGAATTCTCGAGTACAAAACTGCGACGCTCGGAAAAATTTCAATTATCTCAGCTTCTAATGGACCAATTTCCATGATTTTTTTTTAAATCGATGTCTCGCAACTTAGAAAATTCAATTATCATATTTTCAACTACCTTTTATTATTAATTATTGGACTTTTGACATGCCGATAAAGTTACTTTAAAAAATAATTCATTATGTTTATTTTTCGCCTGAAGATGTATCAAATTTGATGAAACTTGGTAGTAAGACGTTTTAAGGGATGCTGAATGAGAATACGTAATGTTTTTTGGAAAAAAAATCGCTAATGCCAATCAGCTGTTTTGATGTCAAGAAAACACGTCCAAATTGGTCGTGAATTGCATTAATAAAAACAGCAATGCCAGTTATAATTTTTGAAATCAGCCAAAAAACAAAGAAGTTACAGGCTTGTATCATACTTAAGCACGACACCCTGTATTTAATATTTAAGTTTTTTAATAATTATTTTTTTTAATGTAAATTAAAATCTGTAGGGTCTTAAAAATAAATAAACTCGGATGTACTTTTTTTTATGCAAATCTCTATTAGTAAAAAATATAAATAATACAATAACATAGTAATTAAAAATGATATATTTAAAATAATAAATAATATCATTGATCCCATAAGAATCGTTTAACTACGATAAACAATTTATACAATAGAATAGCGAACCTTGCAGTACTACTGACTGTAGCAACTCAGTAAGAAAAACGTAAGCTTAAAATCCGTTCAGAGGTAAAATGCGGTAATTATGTAATTTTTGTATGAAAATAGTTAATTTTACAAATGAACTTTTTCATTGAATAACGTTGGCGAAATTAAAGATAGTCCTTAAAATAGTTAAACATAAGACTATAAAGTCGTTACTTCCAGAAGTTTGGATTCTGCCGCAATCTCCGCTCAAAGTTTGTGTACCAGTTCTGAACCGTAGACAACGGCACATAAGTTGCCGTTGGGTCCCGGACCATATTAGCTTGCGTTATAGTATAACTTAAAATGTAATTCATAAAGCTCTCCAGCATTTTCTGGGCAAACGTTAAATTAGATTCTACGTTGTTCTGCTGTGGAACTTCCTGAAGATTTATTAATGGTTCTAAAAAAAATGTACATATAACATTTATAGAAACACAAAAAGATCTTACCTATCGCGATACCTAGTTGGGCATTGTGGACTATATGGCTTTGCCCAAACATCATGTTTGTGTAATCTCCCATCTCCTCTAATTTCTTAAGAGAAGACACTTTAAATATAGCCGATGGCTTTTGATTCGAAATGTATCCCAACAACTGCCAATTTGGAGGTGCATTTGGATCAGGCCAACTGAAATATACTACATAAAGATTATTGGCAGCCAGCTGCAATTAAAAACGACTATGATATTCATCATTTTTAAGTGAGCTGTTCGACTTACCTTGCCCGCCAGTGCCCTCAGGAAATGGTACAGCTCCCGTTAAAAATACAACTATGTGATTAATATTATCCGCATCATTGATAGTTGTAACACATTGTATGGGACTTATTTGCTGGAATTCTGTTTGCACCTAAAATATTGCAATTATAAATTAAACACTTAAAAGTACGCTAAATGTGTTACTTACCAACCGGCCTGACACTATAACTCCAAACATAGCCATTATAATTTCTGATTAGCTTCGGTATAACTATATGAATATTAACAACAAACAGTAAACACCTCACTATTCTAGAACGTAATCGAAGAAAAAAATTGAGGTTATGTATACGTATACGAAGCAAATGCAACCAACATTATAAATGTAAAAATCTAACAAAGAAATAATATCTTCTGCAGGATGTTGTTAAATTAAAATTAAAATTACTAATTTAAAACTACAGCTGTCTTTTTAAGCTACAGCGTATTCGTGAAAAAAATATTGTCAACCAATCAGAGGTCAAGTAAAGAAGGATAGAGCAAGTTGTCATAGTTGCTAGTGCTTTTTAGAACTTCTCCGAACGTACGTCTGTAAAATATTGCAACAGTTGTAACGCAAAAAGTTCCTAGTTCTAGTTTCTTTAGTAACAATTCCGTGTCGAGCCATGTTTGTTGTGGATGGTTTTTCCTCGGCTTTTTTATGATTTTTAAAGTAATTACTGCAGTTTGAGGATTTCTTCTAAACAACCATGGTAAGTTTTGCTCCATATTTTATACCCGGTTTAATTTACTAACTTTAAATATAAACTGAAATCGTTATGCATGTGTATATTTTATCATTTTTATACTTCACGCTCACTGAACATTGTTTTAATAAAAAAAAATAAATAAAAAAGCTTGAAGACGAACAAGTGAACAAGTCTGCGTTAGTCATTATTATCGCAGTGGACTGAAGTTATTTATAATTCCTTTATAGTTTGTCGAATTGGACGGAGTTGGGCTATAAATTTATTTGTTGTCACACCCCCAGGGATATCCATTCAAAATCGATAGTTACCCTCTGCTATATATTTGGTATTTTCTTAAATATATACCTAAGTATATTCAATTTTTATTTAATAGTTAATTTGATGGACTTATTGTCACCAAATATATTTTATATTATTTATATGGCATTTTTTCTATACCTACATAGAAACATTACCCGGAATCTGTTCTATGCTCCAATAAATTCTACGTTTTCTAAGTACTTATTATTCCTATAAGGCTGCATTATCAGCATTGAAGATCAGTAGGTACGGGTTTTTTCATAGGCTTGAAGATAGTAATTTTCATTGTGTCTACCTCCACATTATTTTTTTTAACAAACGTTTGCAAGTTCGAGATAAGTTTTTCCTCCACTAAACTGCATATAATATAAGCTTATTTATATCCGGATTTTCAAAAGTTACTATTATATACGATTGTTTAAACTGTGACCTTGTCTTAATTTGTACTTTCAATTAAACTATTTTTTACTTCCAAGAATTCGTTCACAAATTTAAAGAAAAGTTAAAAATATATTGACATCCCTTCATAAAAATTGACGTACCATGATTAAATGAAATTAAATTCCTGATAAATACATATAAATCAATTTGAATACATATAGATAACTTTATATACTGTTAAATATACGGTTGGATATAGATTACTTAAATAAGTTGCAAATGATTAGAAAATACATTGCTCCAGTAAATTTATATAGGAAAATTGTAAAAATGAAGGAAATTATTATAATGAAGAATTGAGATTTTATTAAATAATATTAATTTTTTTTTTTTGAAAAACTACAAGTCTGAAAGTTGTTTGGCTTGTTTATTAAATATGTATTTTAAGACGTATGAAAAAGTTCTAAATAGTAAAATTAATTCTAAATGTTATCTCTGTCTATGTCATATAAATGCTCGAAGCAAAGTGTAGTTAGTTGTCTGTAGATTCTCATGTTTATTGGACACTGAATATAATAATCTTGATTTATTTTCGTAAATAACTTTCATATAATGTATTGAATGATAATCTTGACATTTTTAATGCGTTCAAACTATTTTGATGCGAACTGTAGTATTTATTCATTTTGCATACCGTATCATAAAAAACAAATTTCTATGTGAATTTTTTTTATTAATTTATTTTCGATGGCCTTTAAAATTTACTCTGATTTTATTTACATCTTGTATACTTAAATAAAAAATAATGTAGATGAGTCGTATGAAAGATTTCAATGTCTTTATCTCTAGAATGTAGTAAATTGATAAAATTTTAAACAATTTTTAAAAAACGGTTCAGTTTCATTTCGACGTTATCGAAGAGCTCCAGGGGTTTTATGGGAATGACCCTGTATATTTCGCTAAATAATGGGATGTTTGCGTAAAAAAAATGTGTAGTGTTTCATCATTGAGTACTATTCTGCAGTGAAAGTTAACTGTATAAGCAATTTCTTTAATAACGTAAATTTTTATTTGATTTAAAAAAATATATATCGAATCTAACGCCCTTGTACTAAACTATGAGTATGTTATTACAGAAAACTTCTTTTTTAAGTAATTCAAATCTATCCCTTTATTACGAAATAAAGGGGCAGTGGTATGATATTGTAGTTGAGCTTCCTATTAAGAGATGGCGTAAGGTCTAGTACAACGCAATTGTCCGCCAAATACGTTTTAGTTTTACATTTTTTTTTAATTATGAGTGATTTCATCCGGAAATAAAGAAATACAGGTAAAGTTGTTTGCCACGTTATTTCTCTATGTAGCAATATCTAAAAAAGTTACAAACACACCAGCACAGGGATACAAAAAAAAGTTCACATATCATTTCCGAAGGAATTTGATTGTTGTCAAAATTCATGATTTCCCGATGAATTTCGGAGAAAAGTGAATTTTTGGGTGAAAACGCCCAAATATGGGTTAAAACTGAAGTTTTCCTAAATGTCCAAATATATCATTTTGTAGTATTTTGAAGCGCTTAATATAGTACCATTAGTGAAATGTACCTCGATATTTCTCAGAAAATCCAAAATTAGTGTAAATTAATTGTCAGGTATATAAAAACGCACTAATTTTGGATTTTTTTGAGAAATATCGAGGTCATAAGTAAATTTTACTATTGTTCAGCGCCTCAAAATATTCCGAAAATGATATATTTGCACAAAATTAGGAAAAAATCAGATTTTACTCATATTTGGGCCAGTTTTGACCCAAAAATTTCATTTTTCTCTGAAATTCACCGGGAAACTATGAATTTTGACTCCAAGATCGTGTTCAGCGCATCCAATTCCTTCGGAAATGGGTCTCTTGGGTTGGGATCTTTTTTTTGTGTGTCTGTATAATTAAATAAATCGGTAATAAATACAATCCTTCCATTTTCTAGAACGTAGCGTATGGTGATGTCTTTGCCGGTGTCGCAGTATGAGGCCTTGCTGGCTGAGGTTCGCGACCTGAGGCGGAAGGCCCAGCGCGTCCAGCAGCTCGCCAGGCCCCTCTTGCAAGGAGACCCGTCGGCACCGCCGCCGCCTCCCCCGCCGGGCGTCTTCTCCAGGATCCCCAGACCCCGATCGCCGCCCCAGATATCGTTTCCGCGACCACCGCCGCACGAGGTAAGTCAGTTTAGGTGCTAATGATACGTCACTCGGCATAATTATGTAAACCAGCAAATTCAGATGAGCGGAAATCTGAGTTCCTCACCCTCTGAATCCCATCCAGCGTATTTCCATCTGATATCGCCTTCTTGCAACACCTGACAAGAAATGGGTTCTAATTCGATAGTGTTGTACATTTAGTATCATTTGGTATCCACCTACCACACATTCTGTGCCGTTATAAAGCGTGTTACGCATCGAAAGAACATTGCTTTTTTAAAATTACATTCGCTGTTTAGCCTTTGACGTTGGGAATTTTAATGTCGCGAAGATTTCTATCAATCGCAGGAAGTCACGTAATCGTTCGAGATCAATAACCACCGTGTAAGTCCTGATTTGCATATAATAAGGAAGGCTTTATTGTCTATGGGACCGTCGAAGATGCGAACACTGAATAATTTTAAGGTTAAATTTGTAAGTGATGCGTTTTGCAAATTATTTTTCAACCGCACATAAAAATATACTTGTTCTTTTGTCTTTAAACAACTTTATTTTACAAACGGTCAGATGATGTCAAATCATGTGGTTTGAGTGGAAAAATCAATATAAGCAACCTATCAGACTGTTAGGTGTGGTATTTGGAATTGTTAATGCGGGTTTTGAAATTTTTCCAAGTGTATTCAATACACTGAACCAAACAATTAAAGGGTCAAAAAAATTTCCGAAATTTTTCCGAGATTTTTGACAGACTGTATTTAAGTGAAAAATGGTCGTATCGAGAATTAAAACAAAGCATTTTGAAGCTCTAAGATTCTAGTTTTTAGATTTTTCAGTCGAAAATTTTTAGGAGCTACGGTTATCATGCAATTCTAAGAAATAGAGCGACAAAAATATTTTGCAATTTTTTTTCCGAGATCACGGATTTGGAAAAAAATTTTTCAGCTAAGCCATTGCATGGAGCACATAGCTTGTTTATTCAGCTTTAATTTCCTTTTTTTAAAATTTCGATACGGCCATTATTCATCGAAATATCGGACTTTTAATGGAAAGGGATCCTTTTGTCTTCAATCATCGATATCTCGGCGGCAAATGCTCGTACAGAGAATTGAAAAGCAGTTTCGAAAACTGTAATAAATTTCCTGTAACATGCTGCCGCAACTTTTCGGATTTTTTTTTTTTCGGTTTTTACACGAATTTAAAAAAAAAAACAGGAAAAATGGTAATTTATGTTTTTTTAGAAAATTGACGGCTAAATTAGAAATATTCACGAAATGACTAATGTTAAACATGACTTTTACAGTTCGATATACCCAGAAGAATCCTTTGAAAAAACTTTTGAAAAAAATAAAAGGGTCACATTTTTTGAGCTTAAACAGTTCATAATCATGATTAAAATGGGAAAAAAAATTTTGAGGTTTTCTCACATTACCGCAAATAACTTTTAAATTGATTAAAACAAATTATTTTTCGAAAAATTTTCAAAAAATTTTCGATTTTTTTTTTTTTTTGGAAAACCTTCCGGACATTGATGAAAACAAAATCCAATCGTTTCCAGCACGATTAGGCTTGTCTGTCCTATGCTTCTGTTCATCAGCTTTTAATTAAATTAAAATTAAATTTGACCCAAACCAGATTTCGATCCCGATTCATACCGTTTTTTGAGACTTTGTAATTAATTTTTGTGCAGTTTGTAATCACTTAAAAAACAGTTTTTTTCAAAACTACCCTTTTTCTGAAAAAAAAATTCGAAAATTTTTTGAAAAATAAAATTTTTACTTAAAAAAAAATTATTTTTAATTTTAATCATGATTATGAAGTGTAAGCTCAAAAATCGTGACTATTTTTTTTCAAAAGTTTGACTGAAACAAAGAGACGGTTCGTTAAATCTAGATGAAATTTCAAAGGATTCGTATCGAAATTTAAAAAAAAAAGTACATTAAAGCTGAATAAACAAGCTATCTGATCCATGCAACGGCGTAGCTGAAAAAAAAAATTCCAAGTCCGTGAACTCGGGAAAAAGAATAAAAAAATTTGGCAAAATTTTTTTGTCGCTCTATTTCTTAGAATTGCATGATAACCGTAGCTCCTAAAAATTTTTGACCGAAAGATCTAAAAACTAGAATCTTAGAGCTTCAAAATGCTTTATTTTAATTCTCGATACCACCATTTTTCACTTAAATACAGTCTGTCAAAAATCACGGAAAAATTTCGGAAATTCTTTTGACCCTTTAATTGTTTGCATTAGTGTATATGGAGGATGATTTTTTAATAGTAATTCAACGATATACACTAATAATTATGCATAAGGCATTGTTTTTAGCTTTATTTTCTAAACGTACCGGAAACAAAGGTTGAAAACTATTAATTCAACTAAATGTAAATCTTAAATAAACTCACTCACCTTTAATTTGAATATTTTCTAAAAGTAACGTATGCATCTATTGTTTCTTATTGCATTCACTTCGCAGTGTTATTAAAATTCTTTTGTTTAAGCAAATGAATTGCGTAATAAATAATTAAAAGCTGAAAATGAAATCCGTTTGAAAATTTCAATTAATATTTTAATGATACTCTTAAATTCTATGATTCGCACTTTCACCTGTTACTTTTCGCGAGATTTTTTCGCGATACTCTTACCGATTATTCAAGATAATAGCTTCGGTTTAGGAGCAACGTTTCTAGTTTATGTAAATATAAGGGGTGTTTCTTTAATATTGCGAAAACGATTTAAGGGAGATTCCTTGTCAAAAGGGGTTATTCTAAATAAATATATTTGCAGAAGGGGTGAGTTAATATTAAGTTTGTTACACCACTGGAAAAAATTAAGGGAACAGAAATATTTCACAAATTTACCGGATTTTGAAATGCTTTTTCACAGTTACAAAAACGTAGAATAGGTATTATTTGGGGTGTGACTTTATTTTATCGAAACTACACCAATATGTTTAATCTAAACGCTCGATCGAAAGGGGTTGAAAATTTCAACTTTAATGGTATTTTCAATACATCTTTTTGCGGGGTTGAAAATTTACAGTTCAAAAAATGTCATTTAAAAAAACTGGCTCACTTAGAAATTTTTCTGGCTCTTGTGTTTCTCTGTTGTGATTGTTTGGCATTTCTCAATATTTTGAGATCAAGAACAAACACTCCAAAAAGATAATAATCGCCCATGTTTAATTTTGAGATCAAGAAGAAACACTCTAAAAAGATAATGTTCGCCCATTTCTGTGCTATAACATTTTAAAATTTAGTAATATACGTTTGACTTCATCTTTAAAATAGAAAAGATCAACAAATTTTCGCAAATCCTAAGGTTGCAACAATAAAATCGACGAAACGTCGACAGAATGTAGTAGCTGTTGTATTTCCTGACGTAATCCAAACCATAGCAGAAAAACAAATATATTTTATTGTCTATAAAAAGTCATTGTCACTCGAGGCGAAATCCTTCCGATCGAGAATAAATCATGCCCCAATGGGCATGCCAAAAATGTTATTTATCTTTCCACGGCACAAGGTTCCAATTTTGTTTAATTTAGTACTTGCTTGATTTGATTTAATGCTTATTTAAATCGTAATAAAATTTTTATGGGCGAGAGGAAATACTTTTGTTTCCAAGCCGTTGATTTATTTCAGATTGTATTTCGAGACCATTTTCAAAGAGAAATTATCTCAATATTTTGATGACGAAAATTCACATTGTCATTCGGCTGATACCCCTCATCAAAAAAAAAAAAAAAAAGAATCAAAGCACGATGGATATACCTGTAAGGTGTTTAAGTGCACCAATGTTCCATAGATGTCTAAATATGTAATGAAAAAATGTACGTCTAGTACAACTTTCGTTCGCCGTTTGCTAATTATTGCAAATTCAAGAATTTTTGTATCTGGTGCATATACAGGGCGATTATAAACAATGGAAAAATCGAAATGGCGACCATTGGCGCAAACATGCCTTATCCGAAAGTTGATAGTTTCGGAAATACAGGGTGTTGAAAGTTAAAATTTTATATCGTTTTTTTTGTGATTATTCTGAAAATATTTAGGTTAGGAACTTGAAAATTTGTGAAACTATATGTTTTTAAGCGACGAATAAGATGCGTATTGCAATTTCAGCCTTGCTCATAGAGGGCGCCACTTACGACCTATTTTACCGAAAATTTAGTTAATAATTTTTTACCCTGTATGTCTAATATGAAACTCGATTCAAAATCTGAAAGAGCAATAATTTTTCCATCAATTATGTACTCTAGTTTCATTTCGGTATCTCAATCGACTTTCGAGTAAAATCGATTTAACGAACACTATGTTTGGATAATACGATAAATTAAAAGCGAAACAAACCAAGTGTTTCGTCATGTTATTACAACAATGAACAATAAAACAAATGTTTGAAACAACATATTCGGATTGCGTTTGATTTCGTTGGCAGCGATTTGTATTCTTTGCCGTAACCCTTCACACGAACCAATAGATTATTCTTTCATTCGAGACCAAATAGAAAAATCAAGAGGAATGAAGTCCGGACTTCAGCGTGGTCAACAAAAATTCTTTCACGGCTTGATGTTATTTAAGAAGACATGTGGTTCATCCAGGACGGAGCTCCACCGCATTTTTCTGGGCCAGTGCGTGCATATTTAGATGCAGTTTTTCCAAATCGCTGGATTGGCCATGTAAGCATTGTTGCTTGGCCACCCAGAAGTCCGGACTTCAATCCTCTTGATTTTTCTATTTGGTCTCGAATGAAAGATATAGTTTATAAAAAATCTATTGGCTCACGTGAAGAGTTGTGTCAAAGAATACAAATCGCTGCCAACGAAGTCAGACGCAATCCCAATATGTTGTTTCAAACTCGAAGATCTCTCAGAAAACGTGTAAAGTGTATCAGTATCAACGTTGGATTCATCGAACAATTACTTTAAATCATAATTACGTATTTTATTTGTTTTATTGTTAATTGTTGTAATAATACGAAGAAACATTTGGTTTGTTTCGCGTTTATGTAGTTTTTCGTATTA